CCTCAATATGCCCTGCCTCAGGGGTTGCACCCCACTATTTGAGAAGCACTGATTCGAGCTAACAGCTGATACCTGTTGCACAGATGCAGGACTAACAGACTGAAATATCCACTCCTCCTTGCAGTGATCAGGCTTCTTAAGAACCGGTTGTAATCTTAGCTGTGTCATTTTAGTATATTGTCTGTCACGCGTGAACGTTTTTCTCTTTGTCTGCTGACTGTGAAACAAATTGCYCCTCTGGGATAATAAATATTCTCGAAACTCCAGTGGCCTGATTACACTCCACCCATCATTCTGATCCAGTTCTCTTGCTTGCAAAATATGAAACAAGCGCACCATTCCCCGGCAAGTTAGAATGTTTTTACAAATGCAATATGATGCAAAGACAACGATTTGTTTTCTGAAATTTACAACGCATAATACATTTGTGATTCCAGGAACTGTTTATTTAGTAGTYATTTAGCCTTGCTTGTTTATTTGCACTTATTTCTTAAAAAATATATATCTAGTTTTGATTTATTTCTCATCTTTAGCCTTTGTCCACATGAATCCCCCCTGCCTGACTTCTCTGAAACACCTCTGTCATCTACATAAACAGYGGGGTTATATTTGTCACAGCAGCTGACATAAACATGTAACCTGCAGATAATAACAAGCCTGTTCTGGAGCCATCTTTAATGAGCTGGTTTATAGCTAGGAGCTGAGGTGAAAATAGAAAATCCACTGYAGTGACTTTAATATCAGCGGTTGTGTTGCAGGTGAATGAAGGACCTCGACCTTTTGGCTTTTATCCATTTAAAGTCTGCATTATTAGTTGATTAGCTGATGAAAGTCTCACTTATTCTGCAGAGAATTAAAAAAAAGGTTTTATTATATTRTTTTTTAAAGTTGTGTGTGCGAAATCAGTATCAAACGACAATTAAACTGTAAAAATTTTCAGTAAAAACTGCTTCCCCCTCTTTTTTCCCCTTTCAATAACTGCCTTGAGTCKGCCTTAATCTGTTCATCTCATCTTCCCCTTGAAGAGCTTCGAATGCTGCTTTTAAAAATGTGTTGTTTTTCCCTCTCTGTAAATCCTGTGTTGGTGAGGAGCCGAAATGTTCTCACCCGGATTTGAAAAGATTCTTCAGCGAGTTATTTCACCATCTGTGGATGTTAAAGGTCTGCAGAGATACAAAGTTCACTGAAAAGTGATCTGTACCACCTCAAATAAAGAATTAGAAATGCTCTGGACTTTTTTAGACAGGGCTTGTATTTAATTTTTATTTATTTWTGAAGAGTTAAGMGCTAAAAACAAAATGCTTCAGACGATTTCCGACATGAAAAGGTGTTTTTGAACATTTGAAAGCATTGTAAACCTCTCCGTGAGCCGAGCTCAAAATAAAAACGATGACCTTGTAAATGAGGAGAACGTGTTCTCTTTAAGTCTGATAAGGAAGAGGCAGTTTTAGGACACCTTTGAGGCCTTTTCTGGATGATGGATGTTCCTGCAGATAAATCAAGGCCTTATTGAACACTGCAGACTTCTTCCTTTAACACTGCAGAACTGAAAGAAAGAGCCTTCCTACAACCAGCAGCAGGTTTGGGAGATAAATTTATTTTTCCAACCCCATAACCTGTTACCTTCCCTTCTGGTATCTCTTATTTTATCTGTCCTTGAACAGATAACAGGCCTGTTATATTTCAGCCAAACTAATAGTTATTTAAAAAAACACATCACCTCTCTTCTAATACTTGATTTTCCATGTAGTTAACACATTGAGAAAATTGTTGCACTGGAGGAAAAGTAATGGACACAAGTATCGTGTAAAGCAACATTTGAGACCAAACRAAAACACTGTAGAAGAGTAGAGTTCAGTGCAGTGGAGTTTGTTTTAAAGACCAAATATAAACCCACATTTTACTTCAGACAAAGAACAAAWATAAAAAGAAAACRAGCTATTTTACATCCACTTTCAAACACTCAGTCCTGGAGAAAATCTGCTTGTTTGTAACAAAAGACAAACCCCTTTTTGTCCCAGAAAATCTCTTTATAGCAGCTGACGCTCWGTCAAGGCTCCACCTTGTGACTTTCATCAGTTTGGTCTTAGGGAAGGTTCTGGAAACGTTCCTGCACATCTGCTTTTGTTTTAATGACACCATCCTGGAAAACCAAAAGCCTTCTGYTGATGCTGGAAATCCCCTTCAAATGTTCCCAGAGGTTGTTTCTTTTATTGTTTTCGAGGCAAATCTTTRTTTCATCATCCACCACCGATAGCAAAAAGTGAGGGTTCATCCACCTCTGACACCTTCTGAAGCCACAAACAAGTGTTTTATCGGAGTTATTTGTAGCATATATATGTCAGTTTTGTGTTTCTCATCGTTCCACTTCTTGTTCCAGAGGATAGAAACGGTGAGCGCCACGGACCCTGACGAGCCCCTCGGAGGACATCGCTTCACCTTCAGCCTGGCACCGGAGGCTGCCGGGAAGGCCAACTTCTCTGTCAGGGACAACAAAGGTACGCTGAACTTMGCCACATCAACCATCTCGCTGGTAAATCCGGTCAGGTTGTTGATCACTCCCGCACACCTGTTCATTTGTCAGACAACACGGCGTGGATCCTGACTCGAAGGAACAGCTACAACAGCCTCCAGAAGAGCATCTACCACGTCCCCGTGGTCATCTCCGATGGCGAGTTCCCCRTGCAGAGCAGCACCAACACGCTCACCATCAGGGTGTGCACCTGCGACCGCGAGGGCAAGATGAAGCTGTGCAACCCCGAGGCACTGACGGCGAGGGCGGGGCTCAGCACYGGCGCCCTGGTGGCCATTTTACTCTGCGTCCTCATTCTGCTCAGTAAGTTCAGGGGGATGTTTCAGGTTTGGCTCAAAACACTGAAATGGTTACAACTCAGTCAGTTTTACAGATAGTGATCTAAAATTGAACGTGGTTCTAGCTGAGCATCACTTCAAACGAGTGCAACATGAAGATGTTTCTGCTTCAAACCCCTATTATCTGTGAGTAAAATACCTAATGAAACACTGGTTGGATTTTAATGAAAATCAAACTGTAATCACCAGATGTACTTTTATATTTAGGCTACATGATATTGAAAAAAAATACAGTACGTTTTGGTCTATAATATGCAAACACGAATTGCGTTTTACCACTATCATAGTTTTTGTCCTTCTGCAACTCTAGTCAATAGAGCTAATCAAGGCACTAACGACTTATTGTTTGGCTGATGGCCCTCTTTTGCATGTGACCAACCTGTTTGTCCACCAAGTGGAGGGAGTGCTTATAAGGCTGAGTTCATCTGAAACTCCTCAGACTGAAAAAAGTCTCTTGGAGGAGAGACAAAACGTTTCATTAAAGGAGAACCCGTCCAGATGACCTTTTTTATTATCTTAGTTTTTGTTAAAGTGTAATATTAGCATTCATTTTGCCTGGTTTTTTTCCAGTTATTTGTGAACTGGTTCATATTCCTTGGTTTTTGTCAAGATCCCATTGTCTTCCTCCACAGCTTGAGATATTACCAACACTTCTCTGAAAAACGCTGCCGTTATTGTCCCATAAGTTTCACAGCAAAATTAAAGTTTTAGCTCTTTTAAGTTAGGCAAATTAAAAAAAAAAATACTTCCCTTTGGCGGGCCAGACATAAGTCATCCATCCGCAGGCCTTACGTTTGACACGTGGTTTAGATAACATGTTGATTTAATTTGCCTCCTACTTTGCAGGACCTGCAGTTGAGAACACATACATTGCAATGACGATGCTCAAACGATATATTGTGCAGCTCTGATCTACACCTGGTTAAAGGTATAGGTCAGTCCACTTCAAGATGGCTGCCACAGCTAACTGACTTTTGTCAAAACAAAGATGCCTCTGACTCAGTTACTTTTACAGATATTGGGCTAAAATTCAGTGTCATTGCAGCTCAGGGCATCTGTAATAAAAACATTCATAAAATGATCTTCTTCTAAAACTCCAGCATGAAAGTAGGCAGAAGATCTGCCTTCCTTTAAGGAATGCTAGGCCTTTAATTAAAACTAGAGATCAGGCTCTGACAGGTGTTTGTGAGCAAGTTTTATATTTCACTCCCTCATTTGATTAATCTCCCTTTGTGGGTGGATTATTCTGACAGTAACAACAGCTGGTGTCATAATTTAGTTTCAGCAGCAAAGACTGATGGCATCTGAACCAATGGAGAGAAAACGTGCTTCACTGCGACTCAAAAATCTCCTAAATCTTAAATCAAAACCTCTTAAAAACACTATGTACAAAATCAATAATGACTTAAACTGCTCCTGCTTTTCTGTTTGGTTAAAAAAATAACAGAAAGCACAATTAAAAGAATTTAAAATTTTTACTGTCTTTTTCACTGTCATTTTATTCATACATTTCTCTGATTTACCATCAGTTTGATAAGTTGATAATCTTTAAAGAAATATCAGCAAAGATCAAAACCCTTAGCAACCTAATCAGTGCAAAGGATCACTCTGGAGTGCGTCGTGGGTAATCTGACAGTTTTGAAAGTGTCACTTCTAGTTTTATGTCACATTAATTGGAAGTTCATCAAGTCTATAGTTAGAACTGCCACCGCTGTCAGTTTAACTCATATGAGAGGTAAAATAGTCAGAAACCCTCAAACACGAAAGGCTTTCATCTAATCTTAGAACAAAAAACAAGATCATAGGAAAACAAAAGTTGAAATTGTTGGAGGTGTCCATCTCTTTAGCACCACAATAAAGAACACAGTACTTTTGTGTTGATTGGAAGARAATGCAGTTTTTTGTTCTTTAGACAGCCTCAGATGTGATCATTATCATTTTTTCCCCACAATACCTGCATGGTTGTTATTTGGAATTTGCTATATATTCAACCTAAAAAACAACAACAAAAAACTATAGACTGATTAGAGTTCGATCAACTAACCGCTCGGCCAAATCACTTGGACTAATTTTTCTAAACAATCTGGATCRGTCACACATGAGCGTACTAAGATAAATTAAAAGGCATTTAAATGYGATTTCCTGGCAGAGGTGTAGTTTTCAGAAAAAAAGTGTCTCTGCAGTAAAACGGGGGAGTTTCTTGTTGTGTGGGCAGAGTTTGTYCTAACCGTGATTGGCAGAGTTTGAAATATAGGAGGAGGTTCTTGGGTGTGGGTGGAGTTAGGCAAAATCGTGATTGGTCAAATTGACTTATCTTGGGGGGCAGGTTGTCACACGTCCCTCCACATGTAGAGCATTTAAATTCTGTGCGGCTAGCACTTTCCTGTCTCAAGTTATGACTAAAATTAATATTTATATTTAAAGTTACAAGAGCTTTCTGGTTTTGGTCGAGTTACACGTCACCCCCAGCTGCCCAGCTTTCATCCAATCGAATTGTTATGGCTTCTTCAAACCCCACCCAAAATAGTCAGTGTTACGGTCACTGACCTCTAGTGGCTCACTTCGTGGGTTTTCTCCTGTGTCTCAGGACTACCTGGCTGCCACAGGTGAAATGTGTTGCTGCTCGTTTACCAACCCATAAAGAGCTTCATCTTGGAGATGTCAAGCCCCTTTTGACTGGGCCTTGATCTGCAGNCAATCCCGCAAACTCCTCCCACAAAAGTCCAACAGGCCAACCATGTATTTTCCAAACTCTGCCCACACACCAAGAAATTCCTACTTAGTGTCTGCAATGACCCCCTCCTCAGCAAAACATCAACATATTGCAAAAGGAAATTGGCCATAATATTTAAGTTCATTTTTTTGAAAGAGGGATTTCTCAAAATAATTCATATCACCCTCCACATTGTCTGTTAAGGTTTGTGTCATGAATAACGCTTCTACCACACCAAATTTGAACAATTCACCGATTTATGAACTTTTTTTTGCTAAAGTAAATTGTCCGTGGCGATTATCTTGAGTAAGGACGTAATTGACCCCAACAGTAAAACCTAAAGTTTTAAACAACAATCTTAGTGACGAGTTTGTGCTCAGAGTATGTGTTTGAGATGACTCTCAGCTCCTACCACACCAGATGGTTCAAAATCTGTAAAACGGGCTTAGTTATAGAGATTTCTGTCTTCTAAGGCTGTGGCAGCTCAGTTGTAAATATACATTAATGATTACTGACAGACAGAAAAATGTCACATCTCCCAGGGAAAATAGTAAAATTTTATTCACATTCATCTTTAAAGAGCCATATTTAATGCATTAGTTATGAAATGGCATTTATATGGATAATTTTACACTTCGAACAGYATTCATAGGAAGCTGTCAATCACTGTCGCACAGGTAGGACTGTGTACAGATCTGYATCCAGCACCAGAGCTAAATTATGAAAGATTATTGTACAAATGAGCTCCAATGTTGTCAACTTCACTTTGATGATAACATGTAGAAGGAACTCCTTTTCTACTATTGACTATCAGACAGATCTTACTGGAGGTATTACAGATTTTCTACAATGATCTATTTTATCYTAAATACAGTAGAATAAATGTGAATGAATATTAAACTTGATAAATTAAGAAAAGTACTTTGTGAATTTCCCCAATCGTGCTGTTGACGTTCATGTTGTGAACGTTCCAGGCAAGAAGCGATCAGATGAGTTAGATCCCCTTTGGRATAAATACTGGGTGTGACAATCAGACAAACAGTAACACTGTTTTTTGGAGTGAAGACTTGATGTCACAGATTTAAAGAGAGGTTCAGAGCCGGGGGGTGAGAAACAGCAGCATTTCTCTTGAATGTCCTGAATCTTGTGACATTCTCTGGAAATGGCACACATCGGATCAGACAGCAAGATTTTAGCACCATTAGATTCAGATTTTATGTTGAGAAAGCATGTCATTACAGCTGGTTTCGTCTTCAACCTTGAAAATAACAATCTGCACAGACTCATGCAAACTGCTCTATTTTATGAGATCTGCTAAACAACTAGAGATGACTCTCTGTGACCACCACTAAAGTATTTAGTTCAATGTCTGTAAAACTGATTGATTAGTAGCTGCTTATTTTCAGCAGATTTAAAGCTTTGTTGCTACAGTGTAAGCTGCCCTACAGTGACATTGTCAATGTTCTCATGAACGTATGTGGTACTTTATCAAATCTTGATTGATTTAATGTTTGACTAATCCAGCTACGCATCGTCAAATGTCATTACGTTTGTAGCAAATAATGCACTKGCTCCTTTCATGTTCTGTAGCACTGGTGGCCCTGAGCAGGCAGAGATGCATAATGCATCTTTGTGATCCCAGATTCAGTTCTACAAAGACCCTGAACATCAGTGAAGACTCATGCAACATCAACAATTCCCCCTGGATGGTCACTGGCCTTCACAACAAGCAGCGCGAGCAAAGGAACCCCAACAGAAGTCACCAAAGTCTCTTATTTGTTCTCTTTGTTTTTGTTCTTCCTTGCAGTGATCGTGGTGCTGTTCGCTGCCCTGAGGAGGCAGAGGAAGAAGGAGCCTCTGATCATCTCCAAGGAGGATGTCAGGGACAACGTTGTCAGCTACAATGACGAGGGGGGAGGAGAGGAGGACACCCAGGCCTTTGATATTGGCACGCTGCGCAACCCGGAGGCCATTGAGGAGAGCAAACAGAGGAGGGACATCATCCCCGAGACCTTCTACCCTCCGGTGAGACGGCCTGCGTTGCCCCCGAGCCGGGACAATAACGGGGATGTGAGAGACTTCATCAACCAGAGGCTCCAGGATAACGACAGCGACCCGACAGCGCCGCCTTACGATTCCTTGGCRACCTACGCTTATGAGGGAAACGGCTCCATAGCGGAGTCCCTCAGCTCGCTGGAGTCGGTGACCACCGAGGGCGACCAGGACTACAACTACCTGAGCGAGTGGGGGCCGCGCTTTAAGAAACTGGCGGACATGTACGGAGGGGACGAGAGCGACAGGGATTCTTAACGACCCTGGCAMATGGACGAGGAGATTAAAACGTTGAACTTTCACGCCGGCCATTCCGGTGGAAAYGTGTGGCGGGTTCAAGAAGAGACGAGCGCCGTTTGTGCTCCTTCACCGCTGTCGCCTTTCAGTTGTCCCTCCGATGACCAGACGTAGGCTTTGTGTGTCCAGTCAGTGTTAGTTGCGTTTCGCAGGGACGCAGACAAGACCTTCTTTTTTTTCCCCCGTGAGTGTGTGAATATGGGATTTAAACGAAGCCCACATATATCTAAAAAAACTCATTTTTGATTTGTTTTTCCAAAGCTGCCTGTGACGGACGCTCACTACCTGCAGCTTTGTAAATCAACAGATATGCCGATGTATTTTTCAGTGTTTCTGGGACAAAAACATGCTGCATATTAAGAGTTCTACCTTAGCTTGTGAACGTACGGTAATACGAAACAATACGCTGTACAGTTTTGTTTTTGTGTTTTTGTTTTTTTTTCCTCCAGGGGATTTTTATCTTGAAAACAGTCCCTCTCCTCGGTGATGTCTGCCTCACTCACGGTAACCACTTTTCAACAGTCAAGCTTGAGCTCAGTTAGATTTTTGAGGCACCTTTGTGTTGGTCATGGCAGCTGTTGTAAAACTGCTAATGTTCTTGAAAAGGACCATAGGGATTTGCAGCCAGAAAAAAAAAAAAACATCCATAAACACAACAGTTTGTCTTTCTTTTTTATTTTTAAATTGTATCTCCATACAGCTCTGAGCATTTGCCGTGAGGTGTGCTGAAATACCAAATATTTCCCTACTGAGGTGAATGTTGCCAGAGCCACTTTGTTCAATTTGAAGGCTGAATACTGAAGTGTGCATTTTATTGTTTTAACTTCAACCGTATGATGACGATTCAAAGCTCTAASAAGTAAAAATTCTGGTTCTGTTGGGACTTGATTTTACTGAGATACTGTATAAGGAAATGTAAAAGTCAAGCCTCCAGTGAGTTCCAGCACTCAGTTAGATCAGATCATCCCTAAAACCTGTCAACAATTAGACATTTACTGGTTTCTTTCTCTAATTTGTTTATGTTATCTCATTTTATTATATTGTTTSAAGCACGGATTGAAAATGTTTCAAGGAGAGAGTTGCTGATTGGATGTCCTCGACTTTGGGATCAAAAATCTTTTGAAGTGGAACAAAAAATGAAATTCTAAAAAGGTGTCACATGGCATTTAGTACATCAAAAAGCAATTGGACATAATGTTTTTTTCTTACTGTTAAGAAAAAGTCTACATGGTGTCCTGAGAGTGGCTTTGACCTACACTGAAGAATGTATAATGAAGGAACAGCGCTGTAACAGAAATGTGCCAAAAAGCAAAGAACACCAGTATTTTCCTTTCAAAAGGCCTCCTGATCGTTGCAGACCGTTCCCTTCTTCTCATTACATGCACTGTACTTGGTGTCGAAGCCTAACCAAATGGTCAGGCTTTACCCAGCTGATTTCCTGTGGGACCATCAGCCTCTTCCATAAAGATGTTTATCGAGGGGCACCTGACCTTTGAGTTGAGCCGTATTAGGCTTTTAAACCCAGAAGATTTTCCTCCGCTCGGAGAGAAGGTCAGAGCATCGACGAGGACACGCGGGGGTTTCGGTTTAAATGTGATTTAGAAAACAAAGGAAAGCGATCCTTAAGCAGCAGTGTTTTTCATATTGGTTTAAGACCTCCGAAATTTGTGTATAAAGCTTTCAGAAGCAGGGAGGAGGTTGAACGGAGAGGGAGCAAAGTGATATCAACATGAAAAAAACACGCCAGCTACAACATGCTCTGCCCTCACTTTAACAAAAGGCCAACCTGTGAAGAGGCTGACATTTGTCAGACATTTGGAACAGAAATAACACAACACAATGGCATAATTGCCACCGTGCTACTTTCTTCTCTCCATCAGTAATGGTGCAGACCATTAAGCCAGCCGACTGATTATAGAGTGGCTGGAAAACTCTATGAGCAGCTATTGTATACACGTGTTCTCCTCTTGTTTTGTTTATTAGTTTGCTGCTGGAGCTCCTATTGTGCGAGTAGCCATTTCAGACTGCTGCAGTGTTTCTATGATAAGCATTAAATGGGTTAAAAAAAACCATAACTGCTAGAAAGCTGCATGTCTGCCTTCAGGTACAGTGTGTATGGCACAATGAAAGGGACAAAAGAGTAGTGAACACTCAGCTGAAGGTATATACCTGCCCAAATCTGCTACTGATCAGGTCAATTATTAACCAGCCTCGATTAATTTCGCAACCAGCTCCTTAAACTTGGACAGTAAATCCCATTATCAACGTTAAGCCACAGGACTGTGACTGTTGGAGACTAGCTGCCGGTGTCCAGCATTTGCGGGGGAGTCTCCAAAATGCCTCAAAACTGACTTTCCAAGTTGGATTCCTGTTTGATTTTCAGCAGGCAACTTAGAAATGCACACTTTTAGGTTCAAAATGAATGGTAGAATGCACCACAGACACTCAAACAAGGCCCAAACAAAAAAGTATTCATAATTGTATGTACAAAGTTATTCGTGATTTTCTCCCAATTTGTATCTTTTCAAATCAGTTTAAATCAGCAAAATTCCACCCAATCTCTAACGGACAACTGGCTTGTAACATCATCCCTTGCATACTTTTTTAAAAATCTTTTACGGTCTTCAGTGAAGTTAGCAAAGTGATTCTATTTGACTAGCATATCTTAGCTAAAAATCCATTAAGTTACACTTCCTTTATTGAACATTAGCATCAAAATGTTATTGATTAGCTAATAATAGTGAACTACTAACCTTTTGAAACAGATAACCTGCTAAACCATTTATTGCTTTAGAGACTAGGACTTTGGAGCTAAAAATATTAGCTGTTAATTTGATTTATTGCCTTTTATTTAGTAGAGGTTTTTGTGCTATGCCAACAATATGTAGACCTACTGTGAGCTGCAGTCTGGTAGACTGTCCAGTGAGTGGCTTTGTTTGATTCTTGATTTACTGCTCATGTATAAATTGTGGTTGTTTTATCAGAAATCGCCAACAATTTCTTGATTACTAGCCAATTGTCAGATATATACCCAGTTTTGGGTGAAACATTGCCTCCAGCTACAAGCTGTGAAGCATTTACCTCAAAGTCAGAACTTGAATATATGAATGCTATCAAACCCCCCCAAAAAATCCCTTTTCCAGATGAAACAAGTCCATGTTCAGGTTGTAAAATTAGTGGGATTTGCTCATTGTTGTGCTCAGTACCCAGGCTGTTTTATAGCAATAGAAGGTGATGAAGTGGTCTTTATCTGCATTTAAACATTGTAACAACATGTTCTCTAATAGGTGTTGTAAAGTGTTGTTTTGTCAAACGAGTGCAGATATTTCCACTTTTCCTGTTTGAGGCAGCCATGCTGGATTTTGAGGCTGGTGAGAAACGTCACAAATTCCAAGTCAGAATCCCGACTTCAGGGGATGTTTTTCTGACTTAGGAAAGCACTAATACCTTGGCCAACTGCTCACCTGTCTGAAATTTGTCCCTTTTGCTGTGCCACGTGAGGTCTCAGATAGAAACCAACTCAATGTTTTCTTCTTTGGTCTTGACATTTTACTGTTTTTCTATGGGCTGTCAACATATCGTAATTATTTAAAACCGTTTTTGATGAGGGGTGTGACTGCCTCCAACGTCGTCGCCATTCCCAATTTCTTTTTTTCTTTTAAGTGTGTGCGTGTGTGTGTGTGTGTTGAGGGAACTCATTGAAGCAGCTGCAGTTTCCTCGCTCCAGATACAGTAGATCTGTGGTTGTTGATGTGCAGGTCGGTCTCAGGGCTCGAGCCTCTGCTGTGCTATAATATGTCGGTGGCAACGTGGTTGAGTAGTTTTGTCGATGTAGAAACAATCTGAGAGATCGTGGTAGTCTAAGGAGCCCAACATCACTGGCCATTCATCACTCTGCTTTGTAAACCGTGATATTTTGTACTGAATATTTATATGACACAATTAAACATGTTTAAAATCAACCTCTTTACTGTCTTCACGATGTCTTCTTCCAGAGAAACAGATCACTCAGGCTGACTGACTCCCAACCCTGTTTTCCCGAGTTGAGAACGAAAACTTTAATTTGAAATGTGACGGCAGCCACAGGCTAACACGCGCTCCGACCTCACAGGTATGGATTTGTTATCTACAATGAATCTCAATATAGAAGACTCAACTCTATGACAGATAGTTATTAATATGTCTGCTGTTGTTAAATAGCTGGATCCAGAGGCTACAGAGCTGAGGAAATTATTAATTAGACAATCTATAATTAAGATCTGTTAGACAGCCAATTGTGTTTTAGCGTGAGGGTAAAAGAAATGGAGGGGGAACGAAAAAAGAAAAAAAAATCACATTTTGATTATTAGAGAATGAGTGGCAGATGCATGACAGATGGTGACATTGTTGTGACTGAGTATAATTGACTCAACCCTTTTTAGGGGTTTAGGCTCCTTATCAGAAGTGTGAAAATTATTAGCATGAAAGCAAACAAATGCAAACTGATTATGGACTAATTAGAGCAAAATCCAACTTTATTTAACACGTCATGTTCCACTTAAAAAATGTGCCTTTTTTATATTTAGTGTGATTTTGTAACACTGTGAGGTCTTCTGGATTTAATTATCAGCCATCAAGAAAATGCCCCCTTCGACAGGGCTACAATGTAAAAAAACTTCTTATTTTCTGTCTTTTTCCTTTAAATARTTGCCATCTGTTGTCAGTTTAAACTTGTGTGAAATAAACAATAATTCATCTTCAGCTATCTCAACATCACTATTAGTACGTTGCACCTGTTGTTTTTGGCTAACCCCTGAACCTCTGCGACTATCTGCGACTTCGATGTCGAGCCGGCTCCTGGTGGGCTCAGGTGCCATCACTTCCTGCCCTCCTCCACCTCGTCGGTCTCTTTCTCCTGCCGCTCGCGCTCCCGTCTCATCTCCTTCAGCTCCTGTCTGTATTTCCGTTCGATGAAGCGYTTCTGATGGGCCATCTGCGGGAAGTTATCTGGTGGTGAGAGTGGGAAACAAAGAAGTCAACCAACAAGAACAGATACGGAGGATGAACGCATAATGAGGAGAGGTCAGTTTCCAACTGGGCGAGGACGTCAATTTAGGCCTAAAATTGCAACGAGGAYAGCTTTCAAAACAAGTGTCGTGCTGTTACCTGGGTCCAACGAGGTAAAATGTTGCGATTAAATTGCTCACATGTTATTTCATTACTAATGATCACGTATCAAAACATGAATCGGGACTTGTTTGGTTTCAGCCCAATGACTTTGAGATCTGATAGCACAATTTACAAGTAAACACCTCTAAACGAGATCTGTGAAAAAGATACGACATTAAAAGCAACAAAACTAAATTAGATACGAGCTTTCGGGTTGTTTAAGGCAAAAAAACAAAATAACCTGTTTTTTTTTTTTTTACTACGGCTTTAATGCAACGTAAACAGTAAACGTTAAGTTTACTGTCTTGCATTGATTTTACACACATAACTGCTCATTTCTAGACCTTTCCAAGCTGACAAATGTTTCTACTTGGCTTTCGGATGCAGAAAAAAATAAGGGCACAGTTTTGGCTAAACCAGCCATTAGTTTCCAAAAGAAAAAGTTCTGAAAAGCCTCGATTTGGGTTTGCTGCTCATTGCCAACTTGGCTGAGGCGGTTTCCAAATCTGATCAACTCATTATGAATCTGTGAAAAAAAAAGAGAAGAAAACAAAAAAATAAATAAATAAAAGTACCGTGAAGCACAAAAAAAATAAATAAATAAAACTTTACAGGTTAGGACCAGTGTGAAGCACAGAAACACACTCTGAACTGTATTGAACGTTTTTATGTGAAAGTTTCCAGTGAAACCAAACTTGTCACTGGTTCTCATTAGGTGCAGTGGAATGTGGGGGTGGCATTCTCAAGAGGATGTGCTAAAGGGCTAACTGCAACATTAATAATTATTAGAAGAAGAAGAAAAAATACAGACCAGGGAGTGGGGAAAAAAAACAGAATATGAAGCATGAGAGGGGGAAAAAAAAGTCACGGTCAGGCAGGTGAAGAGACTTCCACACCGCCTCGCTGTCCTGTGAAAGCCACACGTCTCCAAAATGTCACATTTTAATGAACAGAAGTAACAGCCTCGGTCTCGGCTGCTTTTTCGAGCTTTGCATTTTTCAGATAGTTCAATGGCTTTTCAGAAGGTCTTAATAATGCTGGATAGCACTGAAAAACACTCGCTAAGCTTCAGGAAAGTGGCAGCTGGCATCTTAAACCAGCTTGTTCTGTCTCATCAAGAGTCACAAAGTGAGATAAATTCAAATCATTTCAACTCGGTGCTTAATTAGAAAACAAACCGAGGCAACATATTGAGGGTTAGAGCTGATAAATGCTCTAATATTGCCTCATTTTGAATAGTTTTTTTTTTTTTGGGAGGGGGGGGGTTGTTCATTAATTTGATTTATTTAAAACCAAGTCAGAATCATGACTGATCAAAAAGTAAATAAGGGTGTTGTGCAAAGCCAAAAATTTAGAGCTTTATCCATAGTTTTAAGGATGATTACAAGAAACGTTTTTGCCTTCAAACAACAGAGGGTCAGAAAAAAGGATATTCTGTCCTCGAAGTCTTTTCATTAGCATGGGAATATAATTAACTCTGTTTGTGCATCTGTCAAATGCAAGGTAAAACTCTAACATGCAAAGAGCATCGTTTAAGAAGCTTTTTACGCCGAGCAAAAACATATGAAACAGCTGGGAATGTCTATTTCCTTTGTCTTCCGATTGACATTGCCAAAYATCTTTCTGCATTTTGTTTCTGACACAGATTCCTTTGATTTGCATTTCATTAGAGAAAAGTAAAACACAATTCCTTTTCATTTGTCACCTTCCACTTCCTAAAACAAGACCCCGAAAACATTTTCTAAATAACTGATTCAGAGGAGCCCAGCTCAGCATGGCATCAACATACCTTTTGTGTATAAAGGCATTCAAATGGATGGAGGTGAAGTTGAAATGTGGTCTGTGAGTTTATTATCTGATGAGTTTATTTGTTTATTTATTTATTTATTTTTTACATTCTCTTTGGAAATTCTGGATGCCGGCTAGTCCGGACAGATAAGACAAGATTAGATAACAGGTAGCATATCAGTGCTCTGTTCAGAACTCAGCACACAACAGTATGGAGGTGCATTAGTGGGTTATTTGCACATCTGTGAAGACACCATTAATCCTGAATGATACACTCCTGATTTTACAGCAACATAATCTTGTAATGGGTCTTTTTCAGCGCACTTTTTGGCAATGGGACTTGAAACCCCATTCTCCATGCTTTACAGCAAATTGTATTTAAGGAGTGCAGGTACTGAAGTTACTGAGCATATATTATACAACTAAAATGGTTTTAGCTTTATGACAAAACCAATTTGGCACTATTTCTGGCTTTTAAAACTGATGCTGAGCCAGCCTGTATATCAACTAATAAATTATGCTGGCTGCAAATACCAATTAGGCCTAATTCCATTTCAGAGTGATACACTTAACATTTAAGTTTCGGGTGTCTTTTTCATCCTCGATTTTAAGTTGCAAATTGAAGAGGTTAAAATAGTTCCCTACAAACTGTGACGACCTTTCACAAAGCCGCTATGTCAATAGGTGTCACCAATTTGGAACATGTTTTTACTGAATATAAAAGTGGTATCCTCAATTGTGATCCAGATATTGATGGCTAACATTTTTATTGTCAACTGTGTGAAAACAGAAAAATGTTAGAAAACTAAGACGTCAAACACACATTGGGATGTTAGAGCAGTGTTTCCCAACCCTGGTCCTCAACGACCCCTATCCTTCATGTTTTAATTGTTTCCCTGCTATTCAGCAGCTCTTCAGATTCTTCAGAAGATTGTTAATCACTCAAACAGGTGTCAAATCAAAGAAACATTTAAAACATGCAGGACAGGAGAACTTGAGGACCAGGATTGGGAACCACTGCTTTAAATGTTGACAAACACCTTGAGAGCTTCTATGAGCTTGATGAGACATTTTCAAAATATATTATTCACTTAGTTTTAAGTATTTTTAGTGTTGCCTCTGGAAGCCATTGATTCTTTGCCATTTATTTGTAAATAATAAATGAGATAACATGTGTTAAAGCCCAATGAATAGCGGGGAAACAATTTAAACATGAAGGATAGGGGGTTCTTGAGGACCAGGTTTGGGAACCACTGTGTTAGAGGACGAGTTCACACTAAATAAAACCGACTGCATACAAATGTTGTATCACTTAGCCACATGCTAATTTGCTTGTATGGCTAAAAGCGCTAAATACTAGTTAGCAGGAACAATGCTAAGTGCTAGTTAGAAAATACAGATTAGAGCAATACATTCAGGTACACAGCCTCTGTGTAATGTTGCTGACCCTTCTTCTGTGGGAGAGAAAACCGACCTTCACGTTGCCAGTAAATGCAACTCCAACGTGGGTTGGTAATAAAATAGCAATACATAAAAATACTCTTAAGTGCCAAAATAGTATGGCCTGTTAGGCAAACAGTATTTAATATCAATGCCAATCACCACTGTTAGCCAGAAATACACTTAAAAATGTTTCTATTTAAAGGAGTCAACATCATCAACCATCTACATCCCAAACAGATGTGACTAATCTCAAATTTGTCAATAATAGAAGAGATAAATTCCACAAATCTCTTTAAAAAAGCACAGAAGCTTTTAAACATGTTCATGTGAGAAATCTGATTTTCATCAAACACCAACGCCTTGCTTTACTTTTCACATAGTGCGGAAGCAGCTCTGTTAGTAGTTTTCATGTAATTTTCCACTAAGGGTTTACATTACTATGCTTACCCAAAGCACGCCCTGATTTCAGACGGCACGCATGACAGCTGCCCAGTGGCTCGTGTCTATTCGCTGAGGCTCACATTTGACTGTGCAGTTTTCCAGTCACAATTCATGACCATGCAAACTAAGTGCAAATTAGTCTTAATGCCTTTCACCAAAAACTATGCATGACTGTGTATGTGTGTGCATGTGTGAGAGTGACAGGAATATAAAATATTTCTGTACCAAAAATACAAGAACAGGAATACAACGTATTACCTCAATCTTCTAATCTTAGCTTGTTGGAAATGGGAGCTGCAGTTTTATAAAGCTCTGATCAAAAGAGTACAACATATTATCACAAATTAAATTCCCTTCTTCTTTCATCGGGTGTGTCTCTCTTACTTTTTAAGACTGATCAATTTATCTCAAATCCTCTCAGTGTGCAAACTGCACACAACCAAACTCTCATTAACTTATACTGTATCTGACATTAGAATGTTCTCTATAATTTGGAAGTGAATTCCAAATTATAAATGGGTTTTACGGAGAAATGTTGATGTGTGCTGGAATTTAGGCTGCAACAGAATAACTGCATTGGCTCACTTTAAAGTTTCTTCAGAAATGTTATATCTATTGGTATTATCTTCTGATAAACAGATAAATTGTACTACAATATCTCACAGAGAGTAGACTTAAACCAGATAATGTGAGGATTTTGTGTTTTCCAGAAGCAGATGCAGAAGCATGTCGGAGTGACGCATTATCCGTATGCTTCGTGTTTAAAAAAGGACTCTGTGAAAAAAAACATTAATTTAAAAACACTCAATTTAAAGTGCAAGAAGCAGCCCAGACGTAGACATTTTAATGTTTTAAAATAATTCCGATCTGGTTGACTGACACGTGGGGAGCAGCGAGGACCGATTTATCATGTCCAACTCTTCACCTGCAGCACTAAATCTGTATTTTCTTTTAATATCACCGCCTTTAAATCCCAATAACAAACAACTCTCAGATGTCAGCTTGAGCTCTGATAGGTTCTGAGGCATCTATTTTGCTATTTATGTTTGTTTTTATGAACTGAATTGTACATGTGAAAAACATCTTTACATCTGATTTTTCTCCAAGCGGCTATATAGTGGTTTTGCTTTGTCTGCTACAAGCTCATGCTTTCAAAATTCAAGGGC